TCCTTTGTAATCCTGGGCAAGTCACAGTACCCTCTAAGTACCTATTCCTTCAGCCATTCAACCCATATTCATGTAGCAGCCACTGGCACTGGGGGCATAGAGATGCACATGATTGAAAAGGTGTCTGGTCATGGGAGAGAAATGATTTTTTTAAAATCATGGAGGAGGGGAGAACTTTAAGAAAACAATTTGGTAATATTAAGAAAAGTTGAAATATGAATGCCCTTTGATCCAACAATTCTAAGTTTGGGTCTGTACTCTAAAAAATTCTTATACATTTACACAAGGAGAAAAAAAAAAAGAAGATAAAAGAATGTAAATGTCAACTCACAAGAGAATGAATAATGCGTGATATATTCCCACTAGGGTGTCCAGCAGTAAAAAGTGAATGAACCCAAGCTTCACACATCAGCATAGTCTGCTCACAAACATGACACTACCTTAAAGCAGCACGTAGCAGAAACCATGTAAAGTGCAATGCCATCTGTGCAAAGTTAAAATTTGCAAAATAACATTATATATTATTGAGTAGCAGCGGTATTTTTTTTTTCTTGATGGATGGGAATGAAAAATGCCAAATTTGGGTTGGTGCTTTCCTCCACGGAGGAAAGGAAGAATATGGAATTGGAGAGGGATATATGGGTCATCAGCTGTACTGATAATGTTCTTGATCATAACCTCAGTTGTGAATACATAGCTGCTAGTATTTACTGAAAAGTTCTTTGGAGTGTGGGTATATTTTAAATGTTGCCTTAAAATTTTTTTACATTATAAGGGTTGATGGGTGCTATGATGTGATCAAGAGTGGCTGGCATGGGGGTATTTGGGTTGAGTGGTCAAAGAAAGCTTCTCAGACAGGTAGAAGTTGAGCTGAAAACATGAATGACATGAAGGAGCCAGCCACAACAACATCTAGGGGAGAAGCATTTCAGGTAGAGAGAAATTTTAGAGCAAAATGTTGGGAACTGTGAAGGGTCTAAGGTTATACATTGCTTGCAAGCTAGCAAAGTAGCCTGCCATTTTCATGGGAGCTGGCAGTAGACACAGACATCTGGGTCAGAACAAAGGATTTTATTATTCCCTCCAGCAGGCAGCATGAGCTTCATGTTCACATGGGTCCTCCATGCTTCCTTCCCAGGGGCACTGTTCCAGGTGAAGTCAGGAAGAGGAGCTGGTGGATTTGGATGTGGGAGATAACAGAATGGTAGAAGTTTAAGGTGCTTTCTAGGTGTCGGGCTGCACCCACAAAAGAACAAATTGAGGGTCGAGGCAAGGGAGAACAAGGACACCCAAGTACTACTTAGAGCATGTAACCATTGAGATGCCTAAGGCACATCCAGGTCCTTAAAAAACAGTTGGGGAGGGTGGGGGTAAAGGGGAAGAGATCAACCAAAGGACTTGTGTGCATGTATATGGGCCTGGCCAGTGGCCATGGACAACGGGGGGGGGGGGGGGGGGGGACGGGGGGGGCATATGTAGGGAGGGGTTTGGGATGGGATTGGGGGAATGAGAACAATTATGTGATACCATAATCAGTAAAAAAAAAAAAAAAAAAAACCAGTTGGGTGCAAGCATTTGCAATTTAAGGAAGAGATCACAACTGGAGGAATAGACCTGGGAGGCCCTGTGGGATGACAGGTACTTAGAGCCTTGAGATGAATGAGGTCACCAGAGAATGCTTTCCGAGTTCACCAGCCTTCTCAGTCAGTGGAATCACCTGGAGTGCTTGTGAGAAACATAAACACCCAGGTCCCATTCGAATCTCACATTCTAAAACTTTATGATCTAAAGTTTTTGCATAAATTCTTTCACCAATATTTATTGAGTGCCTGTTATAGTTCAAGCACTGTGCTTGGTTGTGATGGGTGGAGCTAGAGCAGCATTCTGTGGTCATGAAGAAAGGCCAAGGGAACACTGAGATCTTGGCAGATTTCATGAAACCAATGGACAGGCATCCAAACTTGTCATTATGGGGGGAAATTACCCCCTATTTATTTAGTCCATTATGGGGGGCGGGGTTATTTGTTGCTTTCTGCCAAAAGCTTTCTAACCTAATACATATGTTTTATTACTATGTTTATAAATCTAGTAAATTTAAATAAAGTGAATCATTATGATTAATGTTTAATTAACTCAAGTTGAGTAGGCTAAACTTCCTTAAACCATTGTTCTAATTTACAAGCATCATTTATTAAAAATCTCTTAAACACTTTAAATTGCTTGTAGAGACTTAATAATTTAGTTGAGTTTCTGGTTTAACACTTCAAATAATTGAGCTGGCAAGTTTACAACCAAGTAAGCCCAAGTGTTCTCAGATATTTAAACATCTCTCCTAAATCTAATAAGTTAAACTTACAAATATTGTGAATCTACCCTAAAACTATTAATGAGCTCAGTCAAATTTTCTTATATCTTCCAACTTAAAATCACAAGCCTAAAATCAATTTCATGTCTTAAATCGGAATCATAAATTTCCACTTAAAAAATCACTTAAATAAGAAACAGACAAGATTATTCCTAAGCTCAACATGAAAGTACCAATATTATGGGTCTGATTTATTTCATCATCGCCATATTTAATTCTAAACATTCCCAGATGTGGAAAGTCACTTAACCAGGGAGCAGATTTTCTACCTCAAGGGAGTCAGAGTTACCAGGTCAGGAACTCATGACCACAATATGGTGAACGTCTCAGATAAGCTGACATTCCTTAGGAGCAGAGTCAGAAGGCATGTGAATGCCCTGACCCTTTCTGTGGTCACTATGACAACAGGGGACATCCTTCAGTGGGCTTTGATTTTAGAACCTTAATTCCAGTCTCCTCTCCATTATTCTTCTTTGTTTTTAATTATTGGAAGAGATGCAAATCAGCAGCTCCACCTCCACCCAAGTGAGCTCATTTTTGTTATTTCCTCATTGGCTTCTATGCTTTGGTGCTCTGAAGACATTGCTAGCATTTTTCCATGCTGCTCTAAGGGAATTTTAAGGCTGTTGGGTTTAATCCTGAACAATTGGCCCCACACCATTACTGTAAAGTCATGATAAAGACACAAATCATTCCCCTTCCTTGGGACTTGTTGGGAATTCCCCAAATGGGATGATACCCTGTTTCCCCGAAAATAAGACAGTGTCTTATATTAATTTTTGCTCCCAAAGATGCACTAGATCTTATTTTCAGGGGATGTCTTATTTTCCATGCACTAGGTCTTATTTTCGGAGGATGTCTTATTTTCGGGGAAACACGGTAGTATTTCCCATTTCCTCACAACTACTGTATCTGACGCAGGGAACTCAGCTCCAGGTGCTGCTATTCACCCTCCAGAGTTGCCTGCCAAGGACATCCTGTTCCTTAGCTAATCTGCTTCAACCTCAGATCAGCCCATTCTCTCCACTGGGTGTGGGAGTCTCCTTACCATCCCCACCTCCGTTCTCTGCAGTCACCTCTCTAGCAGGTAGACAAGTGCCTCTTTGTTGGACTGTCCAGCCTTCCTTTTCTTAAAAGAAAACATTTTTATTGAATTCAGAGAAGAAGAAAGAAGGAGGGAGGGAGAGAGAAAAAGAGAGAGAGAGACATCAGTGATGAGAGAGAATCATTGATTGGCTGCCTCCTGCACACCCCCTCCTGGTGACTGAGCCTGCAACAGGAGCAGGTGCCCTGACCAGGAATTGAACTGTGACCTCCTGGTTCATAGGTCGAGGCTCAACCACTGAGCAACACCAGCCGGTCTGCCCAGCCTTCCTGGTGTGGGAGTGAGGGCACCAAGCAGCAGAACTGGAGCAGCATGTGTTTTAGTCTCATCACTGTGTGTAGATGTGCGTGGACTGAAACATTACAAGTATAAGTGGTAGTAACAACAGTACTAACCATGATACCAGGAGCCAGCCCTAAAAGCTTAAGTGTTCGCCACCATGAGCTTAGAACTACATGTGACTCATCATGTTCAATCGCCTCAGTAACTCTGAGATAAGTGCTATGTTTATCCTCATTTTACAGATGAAGAAAATGAGCCTTTAAAAGATTGTTTTTCACGGCCTCCAGCTGGCAAACGCCAGAAGAGCAACTTGAATCGAATCCATCTGTGCTGTACTCTGGGGACCGCGTTGGTTTTAATTCCATCCCCCGGAGAGAAAGCTGGCTGCAACACATCCCAAATCTGTGCCTTTGTACCTCTGCTCGCCATCTGACAAACCAGGGCTGTTTCCGGGCGTGGTGATCTGGAGGGTGGCCAGCCCTCTGCACTCTTTTCCTCAAGGGCCCCTAACTCAGGCACAATCTAGACTTTTCTTTCCTCTCAAGTGGCTTTGTACTAGAATGACTACACTCAGACCACCACCCCCGGCCATATTCCCTCTCCGCTCCACGCCCCAAAGGCCAGTTCACCTGAGCACGGTGAACTGAAACTGCCAAAGAGCTCCCTGTGCACAAATAGTTTCTAAACATAAGAAAAAGACATTTGCCGAAGCCAGTTTGGCTCAGTGGATAGAGCGTCGGCCTGCAGACTGAAGGGTCCCAGGTTCGATTCCGGTCAAGGGCATGTACCTTGGTTGCAGGCACACCCTCAGTAGGAGGTGTGCAGGAAGCAGCTGATCGATGTTTCTCTCCCATCGATGTTTCTAACTCTCTATCCCTCTCCCTTCCTCTCTGTAAAAAATCAATAAAATATATATTTTAAAATAAAAATAAAACACTTAAACACCAGAGCGTATTTTCAGTAAAATTGTAATCCATTTCCAAAGTGGGTGAGAAATGGAAGAGAGTGTACCTGTTGATCTTGCTCTATGTTCCCCAAACCCCACTGTCAGAAGCAGGGGTCTCAGACTCCAAGTGCTGGGGAATGTGGAAAGTTTTCTGCACACACACACAGTGCTCCCCCACCTCACCCCCCGTGGCATGGAGTGCTGGGGAGACCTAAACTCAGAGAAAGGGCAGCCAGAAGCCCGAGAGGAGCAGGAGAGGGAGCAGTGACACCTCCTCCAGCCTCTCCCTGCTGGTGTCCGGCCTACACAGTCACCATGACCTGGTCCAGAGGTTTCCGTCTGAAGTCGGGCACCGTGGCCTCTTTGCTGGGATACCCCACGGGGAGCAGCAGCAGCAGCTTTTCGTTTGTGGGGCGGCTCAGGAGCACCCTCAGACGGGGGCCGCAGTTGAGAGGCGTGGTGGTGACGGTCACCAGTCCCGCGTTCTGAAACGGGAGTGGAAAAGAGGACATGGAAACAGCAGCAGAGAGTACATGGAAAGGCAGCTCTGCTTCAAGGCTGGGGACATTCTGGCCTGCTTATTCTTTCAGTTCCCGGAATTTGGGCAACAAAGAGGCACAGGGTAACGTGACTCATGCCTGCTCTCCTCAATCTCCCCAGCCCCCACCTTCTTTTAACCAAACAGTGGGAAGGTTCTTGAAGAAGAAAAACTCGTCTTGCATTTCTTTAAAGCTTAAGAAATAGGAATGATTATTTCGTGGAAAGGAATTTGGGGAATCCAACTCCACTAAAGGAATAACGAAAAAAAAATAAGTGGTTCCTATGATCCAACCATGGACTGTCCCAGCTGATAATTCCACACCCAGAAAGACAGGACCCAGCAGCCAAGGGGGGAGGCAGAGAAAATACTTCATCAACCTCTCCCCAAGCCCCCAGCTAATAAACAGCTAATAAAAATCATGTGTAGCCTCAAGGCACCTCCCAGCTGGCCCTCTCAACCCTCCCACCCTCCCACCCCTCACTTTTCCAAGCACCGCCAAGCCAGAGCCAGAAAGTTCTGGAACTGCCTCTGAGAGTCCTGCACAACTCCAGTCACTATGCCTTCTGCCCAGATGGGGGCTTCGGGAGATTTCTCTTTCCTCCCTCGCAAATCAAGACCTGCACTCAGAAAGATGCCTTATGGAACGCTAGAGGGCAGCAAATCAACACTAAAGAGGCAAAAGGCTGCTGAGTCAAAGGCCTGCAGACCACTAGTGATCTGAGCTCACTCCAAGACCAACACGCTTCTCCCAGGACACCTGAAATAATCTAATATTGTACATCAATTATAATCGGGGGGGAAACTAATTAAAAGGGGGGAGGGGAATGGTGGATGGAGGTGCCCTGTGTACTGTCTCAGGAGGGAAATAAAGAAGTTTTGGTTCCTCTAGGACAGTGTTTCCCAAACTTTTGATGTATGTGTACCCCTTCTATAACTTTTGTAACGTTGAGTACCCCTTGTACTCATGAGAACCTAGAATTAGGCGCAGCTAAGCACGGTTCAGTGCATATCCCCACCAAACTCCGGTGCAATGCGTACCCCACCAAACTCTTCCCGTACCCTTGGGGGTACGCGTACCACACTTTGGGAAACACTGCTCTAGGACAAGTTTTCAAGTAATCTATTTCTCTTTTGAGAGAAAACAATGACTACACTTTGTGAGGTGTTTTTGATGCACAGACTTTTCTTTGAGATGGTGAGGAAGCACACAATAACTTATTTGTTCCTTGGCAGTATGCTCTCTTACTCTTATAGTCTTCTTTGGTTTTTTGTTTTGTTTTGTTTTTTTGTTTTTTGGGGGGTTTTTTTATTGATTTTTTTACAGAGAGGAAGAGAGAGGGATAGAGAGTTAGAAACATCGATGAGAGAGAACCATCAATCAGCTGCTTCTTGCACGCCCCCTACTGGGGATGTGCCCACAACCCAGGTACATGCCCTTGACCGGAATCGAACCTGGGACTTTTCAGTCCACAGACCGACGCTCTATGCATTGAGCCAAACCTGTTTCTGCTAGTCTTCTTTGTTTTACTTGTTTACAGATTTACTGTCTCTCTCCACCCCAGAACCCCAATTCCCAGCAGAACATAGAGTTCATGAGGCAACTATTCCTGGTGCCTCTGGGAATCTGTCACAGAGAAGGAACCCAGAGGAGATTTGTTGAGGGAATGAGCTGACTCAGGTGAAAGGCATACCTCGGCTACTCTGCTTCCTGCTCAGTATTGTTCTAGCTACTAGGTAGATGGACTTTGTTAAAGTACATGAACATGTTTCTGATGCAATACAATGTAAACTCAACTTCTCTGGAAAGGAGCTCAGTGACCTTGTCCTCCTTACAGTTCTGAAGCATTCCATCAGTACAGATAACAGCAAACATAGCTAGGAAGCCAGTCCCTGGAACTTCCAGGCTCTGAAAGTGTGTTTCCCACCACCCTTGACCTTCACATGTCACAGATGAAGGCACACAGAAGGGCCTTTCTTCTGACCTGCAATGACGTTTCAGGTGAATTTCCAGGAAGAATTCTAGTTCATTGAACCATTGTACTCACCCAGCCTGGTTTCAGGGTCAGTTTTCACATCAGAGTTACCTCCCTCAGGAATTTAACTTTAGAATAACAATTTCCGAATGTCCCTGAACCAGAAGCTCAGCTGCTTTCTGTGAATTCAGGCCACTGTTTGGCCCCCAAGCATCACCTCTCAGGTGGGAGGCTGACATACCTGCAGGGCAGCAAGGAGGATGCCACATGCGATGGACACACTGATCTCGTTGTAGTAGTGGACCTTCCTCTTGCCGTTGGCGGTAAAGCCGTGCACTTGTTTGAAAATGAGAATCAAAACAGGAGCTGTGTCCAAGTACTCTTTAATCCAGTTAGTTCTAATGGGGGAAAGAAAAGATATTCCAGAGAATATTTGCTCTTATGATTTTTTGTTCTTTTCACTACTTAGCTTATTTATGTTGCAAATAACAAGGTTTTGCATGAGAAGACCAAAGCTAAGATTTGACCCAGACCTGATATACACTGAGTGGCCAGATTATTATGATGATCTCTGAACGCATAATAATGTGGCCACTCAGTGTGTGTGTGTGTGTGTGTGTGTGTGTGTGTGTGTTTTATATATATAGAGAGAGAGAGGCCCTGTGCATGAATTTGTGCATGGGTGGGATTTGGCCAGATTGGCCAGGGGGAGGGGATATGGGTGGTTGGCTGGCCAGCTTACCTGCTGGTCGAACTCCTGGTTGAGGGGACAATTTGCATATTAGTCTTTTACTATATAGGCTATACACTGAGTGGCCAGATTATTATGCATTCAAAGATCATAATAATCTGGCCACTCAGTGTATATGCTCAAAGCAATAAAGTGATGAGACCAGTCCTAACTTCCATAATTCCTCACAGAGGTAGATTCAAACAGTTGAACACCTAAAACAAAACCAGGAAACCGAAGCCATCGTTACTTCATTTTAAGAAGTCAACCCAAACATCCCTCATCCCACCAATGCTGTACCTAATTTTCTTGAGGTCTGTGACCCATCGTTGTCCCATCCTTTTCAAGTAGTTTATTCTCTCCTCCTCCTCAATGATCTCCCGGATCTTATGCTTCATATCTGGGTCCTTCACAACCACGAAGGTCCAAGGCTCTGTGTGGGCCCCACTTGGGGCTGTTCCTGTCCCCCGTTAAAATCAGAAATTAAAACTGCAGGGAAATGTGCAACTATGAATGAAGAATAAATAGAGAGATTCACACTTGCTAAAAATGAAGGTACCTCTTCTGGCAAACAGAGTGCTTGGTGGCAGCCCCTGGTATGTTGCTGCTGCCTCCTTTCATTCGGCCTTACTGTCGGAGGCTCTGAACCCGCTGGCTGAGCTCAAGGCCAGTGGTTTTAGGGCTGGAGGGCCCTATCACTGCTTCTTGAGCCAAGTGGGAGAAAACATCCCTAGGAACTGAATCATGATCACAGAGGGGGAATTCTGATAGTCCAGATTCTCCAAAATGTCATCTGTTTTGATATCCTTGGAAAAGGATGAAGTCATAAAGCTTATGGTAAAATTTAAGTGGTTAAGTGGTTTTAAAGTATGCCTCCAAAAGCAATGGAACTATACATAGCTTAATGCCAACATGGAAGCTCCCAGTATGGACTGTGGGGCTTGTGGTTTCATTGGAGACACACAAGAACTCTTGGTCCTGGGTTCAGTACACACATCAGTGTGTCTTCTGCCTCTCACAGGCTTCCGGAGCACTCAGCCCACACATTGATCATCCCAGGGACCCCAGCAAAGCTTCATAGTACATCTCGGTGCCCAGGGAGCTTGCATTTCCTTTTAGGTCCCAGCCACGGCCTGGGCCAGCTTCTGATCTGGATCTGATCACCCCTCAGTCCTAGAAATAGCCCCACTGTTCCTAGACCACAGTGACCCTCTGGTGGGATATTTCAGAAGCAGCTATTCCTTTCTTCCCAGTGAGTAATTTAATGGCATAAACTCTACCTGAGGGGACTCAGGCCTCCAGCCTTAATGACATCCTTGTTTGCCACCCAAGACTCCTCAGGGTAGAGGGGGCATGATTAAATTGTGAAATGCTTTGGCAAGCCAGAAGCTAAACATAAAGCACAAATTTCTACACAGGGGGATTCCAGTTTAGTTTGTACCAATGTTATCTGCCCAGTAAGTATTTGCGTCACTATCCTAAGAAATAAATTCATCCCTAATATTTTTAATTATTCCAAATTTATCTAAGCACCACAAGTACACACACACACACACACATATAGATACAGATAATATACACAGAAGCAATTTAATAACTGTGATTAGTTAGATAAAGGACTCAACAACTTAGTGCATTTGTACTCATAATTGAAATGAATAAAACTCAAATTACAGAAGACTCTCAAATAAGGGGGTTGCTCTTATTTATCTTCCTACTTTCTTGTAGTTCTCATGTTTTTGTTTGTTTGTTTTCTCTGTAGAGATAACAATTTACATTGAAAATAGGTGTTTCTTATTTGACTTATTTTGCAAATTCACACAAGTAAATTTGGTAGGTCATCAGAATATAGTGTTAGAGCATTATGGAGTATGATATAAGAAACTTGGTTCCAAAAAGAGAAATATATAAATGTAAGTGTATGTGTGTATGTGAGTGTGTGTGTGTGTGTGTGTGTGTGTGTGTGTAGGTTTGTGTGTGATGTTTTAAGAGGAGAAGAAAGGAAGATGTTTCTCTTCCAATATAATAGTGTGTTTAAAAATTTTTGTTTTTAATGAAAGTTCATAACGATCAGTAATTTCAGAAGTTTTGAACTATTGTCACATCTGCTCCCAAGGAGTTTATAATAGTCAAAAGTTTATAAAAAGTGGGAATAATTATGTTTCTGGCAGTCAGTCAGCACTTGGGTAAGACTTTATAGGTAAGCTTATCTTTCTAGGCTTCCTTCACTGTGTTTGAGCTTCAACCTTGCTCATTATTGTCACAGCAGTAATGCAGCTGACATTCTCAAAGACCCAGTATGCGATTACAGACCTGCTGTTTTGACGACATTCTCAATAACTTCCATTGGGACTTGCTCATTACTTATGAATCTCACTGAGCGTCTCTTATTGAGAAGCTCATAAAATTCCTGGGATCTTGTAACCATTTCCTCCTCAGGATACCGGGTGTGGGAGAACAGGATATGCTCAACACTTTCCTCTGACTCTTGCCACTCATCAGCATCTGCAAATAAGAAAAAGAAGAGTGTCAAATTAATGATCTCTCTCAGTCATCAGGTGGCCACTTGAGAGAAGGAGATCAAGTTCTCAAAACTTTATGAGCTCATAAGCATCACCAAAAATGAGACTAATAGATCTACAGAATCTTGACTTGGATCTTGCCAATTCTTTAAACTCCAGATTGGTTATAAATTAAGAAAAAGAAAAATTTCCACTACACAAAGATGAGGAATGCAACTTTTTATTAATCATGAACTAGCTACTAGCTGTACCGTTAATAATGTGGAAATTTTTCTAGATGGAGTCACACATATGTTGATATATATGTGATTTGATATGTATGCTATTTTGTTGTAGTGACAGCCAGCTTCAAAACTTCATATGTCAAATTTTCTGAAGGTGTTAACATCATAGATATTTTTATGCTTAAAAATGTCAAATTTTGTGCCCAAAAAAAAAAGAGCATTTGTGGGAAGTTTTAATTCATTATTTTGAAGAAAAGTGCTACTGAAAGTTATCGCATATGTCAGGAAGCTTATGGAGAACATGCTCCATCTCAAGATGCTTGTGAACGCTTGTTTAAATGCTTTAAAAATGATTATTTTGATGCGAAAGACAAACAATATCCAGGTCAATTTGAACCATGCTTTGATCGTAAAATGACCAGAATGGGCCAGAAGACACGGCAAAGTAATTTTGTTTCATGATAACTCACCATCACACACTTCAAAAGGAGTTAAAGACACATTAAAAGATCTTGCCTGGGAAGTATTAACCCACCCGCTATATTCACCAGACCTTGCTCCTCCAGATCACCAGTTGTTCCAATCAATGGCACATGCACTTTCTGAGCAGCACTTCAAAGTGTACAAAGAGCCCTGACTGGTTTGGTTCAGTGGATAGAGCATTGGCCTGTGGACTGAAGGGTCCCTGGGTTCTATTCCGGTCAAGGGCATGTACCTGGGTTGCAGGCACATCCTCAGTGGAGGGTGTGCAGAAGGCAGCTGATTGATGTTTCTCTCTCATTGATGTTTCTAACTCTCTATCCCTCTCTCTTCCTCTTTGTAAAAAAAATAAAAATATATATTTTTTTTTTAAAAAAGAATAACTGAAATCCTAACAGCAGCAAGAATAAGTGCATTGAATACCAATGGGCTAAATGCTCCTGATACAGGCCAATGAGTTACATGCTTAAGTCCTAATGTGTTTTTTATTAGAAAGTATGGTTGACGTACAATATTATGAGTTTCAAGTGTAAAGCATAGTTCCTCTGAAGAATTGTACAAAGTGAAAGACTTTTGTGGGCAGAAGGGAGCAGGAGCAAGGAAGCTGTTGTAGACAAAAAATTGGGTTGGTAATTGCAAAGTTAGGTTCTTTTAGGACATGATAGGACATGGCTGGGGTCTATCAGGCAGATGGCCTCACTAGTGCCCATCAGGCGATTCCTGATCGACTAGTTTAAGATTCCATTTCTGGGGGTCTGAAATTGTAATTAGGTTTGGTGATGTGGAGCTTAGTATGAGTGAATTATCCATGGAAACAGAGGGAAGAGATCAAGGAGATCCAGGGCCTGAGGGAATTCCATGGAATTCAGGTTAATCCTCTACCTGAATTCCATGCCAGGTGGAATTCAGGTAGAGGATTAACCTTCTCTGATACTGGCTCCCACACACCTCACTCCTAGGTATCTAGGTATTGGGGAGGGGGGGAGGCAGGAGGGGACTCTCATGAAGAGGGACTGACTCCAAAGGGACTGAGAACCCAACTACAATACTAGCAGGTTCTTTTAACATTTTACTAGCCAGGGCAGTCCGGTCTGGGAATATACACATTTAATGAAAGGCCTAGGTACTAAGTTAAAAGGAAGTAGGTGTGATGGGGGAATGGCAACAATCAGCTATCAGCTTCCAGCAATCAATTCTAAATCAAACTCAGCTGTCATTATCACCAATCCTGAACTTCCTCAAATGTGCCAATAAAGACTTTTACGATTTGTTATGAAGTCTGGCAACCTCAGTAATCAGTTCACAGTCAGTGAACAAGACCATGAATCACTTCCTGAACTGAAGCGTAAGTTGCTAACTCTTAAGATCCATTCAACCAGCAGTTATAGAAACTAAAGGCAGTTTAAGGGCATGGCTTGGCAATTTGTGCAGCTTCTAAAGTACATGGTTGTGGAGAGCGGCTACAGCGTTTGCACTGTAGGTTCAAGCCTGGGACTAATGAGAGGGCACAATCCTCTCCGGGCAAAGCCAAGTGCAAGTCCCAGCACAATTATAGCCAAAGGTTATGGTTGTAAACTTGACTTTATGGTCCAAGCCTGTGGCCCCACGTGGCTGAGTGATACAGGCTGTGGAAGGTGCAGCAAGTAAACAAAGCTTGATCAGGTGCATGTAACTGAGTAGATCCAAAACCTGAGAGAACGTTGTAAACATGCCCTTACTTTGCCTTGTGGGAACTGGCTATAAAACAGAGACTTGCCTTGTAGGCTGTAGCGCTGTCTATCCATTAGAGATGGCAGTGTCCCACCTAGACCCAGCTTTATTTTCTTGTCTGTCTTTTTAAAATCCTTCACCGCCCCGCTCAGCTTCATTCATGGGTGTGCCATCTGGGCACACAGTGCAGGTGCTCTCACTCTAGCGGAATGAAGAACTGGCCCTATCACTGTTGGGCTGGATTGTCCTGCAGGGCAGTCTGAGCAGTGCAAGGTGGGAGAGGCGTGGGAAGGGAAGCTGCTGTTTCTGGACATGATCCAACACAAATGCAAAAGGCACCAATTCTCTCTCCTTCCCCTTGACCTGCTGATGGCCCCCAGCAATGTGGTCCTCACCAAAAGGAAAGAGAACCACCCCTGGAAACTGCACGGCTGTCCTGACTCTATCCTAGGTCAGCCAAGTCACCCTAGCTGTGAAGTCCATGCATTTCTGAAACAAATGTGTGCTAGTGCGGTCTGCTTTTTAATATATGCCCCGTGCTTCCACATTTGGGGTTGGCTATTAATACCAGAAGCAATTCACCTTTTGTCATTGCTTAATGCCAAGGAACACAAAATTGCTCCATAATTAGGCTTAATGGCCAAGTAATTCCAGGTCAAGTCTCTCCTTTAATGCTTAACATGAAGGTGTGGGGGTTTTTTTTGCTGCATCTCTACAGAAGTTTCTTTTCTGTTTTCTGATTCTACTCCAAAACTTTGGCAAGAAGGCCAAATATTCTCAAGCTATGAAACCACAGGCCTATTGGTGTCATGCCATCCTTGTTCCCTCTCTGTGAATTCTGGGGGTCTTGAGGAGCAATGTAATGAGGCAGAGGGAGATGGGCTAGCACAGTAGACAGATTCTGAAAGTGAGGTTGGGAACGACTTCAGGGCTCAACACCTGTCCTGGGAACACCTCCTTCCCAACTGCACCACCATCCTCTGACTCATCCAGCGTGGCCTCTCGGTACTTCCCCAGCTGCTGTCTAGATGGACTGTTTCACTGGCAGCAACAGGGGTGGGTGGGGGTGGGGAGTCTGTGGTATTCTGTGAAAGAGCCATATTCAAGGAGCCAAATAGCCACATGTGGCTTTCGAACTGTGATTTTCCGACCACTGGCCTACAATACTTATTTTACTGCTTTGTCTCTTACTGATAATTTTCAAAATTGTTTGGGCTGGTATCTAATTGCTGTCATCAAAACCATCTGTTTCTTCAGTAATGGAGTCTTTCTCTTCTCTATTATGCCCCTTCCAACCCTGCAGCGCCCGCAGTGGTCCTCTCTTAGACACCCTCACACTCACTCACACACACACACACACACACACACACACACACACACACACACTGCAGCCAGTGGTTAGGAGCTGGGACTTGGGTGGCAGAGGAGACTGAGTTTAAACATTGATTCTCCCCTACCCCCTGTGTGACCTCAGTTGTTCTCAGTTGTATAAACAACAAATATTTCAACAAGAGACTGTGAACTCTTCTCTCAGGGCATATCTGCAAGTGGCTGTTGAGGGGGCCGCTATGCGTCAGATTCATTCCTCAGTGGGAGTACTAGAGAGTGAAGAGGTAGAGGATTTGGGAAAATGAATCAGGCAGAGAACCAGAACAGAACATAGAGCTTTGCTCTGTGTCCCCAACCTTCAGTCCCTCTCCTTTCCTCCTCCTGCAGGTCTCTAATTCCCTACCAGCCTTATCAATCCCTTTGGTATCCCACAAACTCTTAGGTCTTCAAATCCAGTGGCCTTTCCTTTGTGCACTCTGCCTCTGAGCTCTCAGGGAAATTCCTACCCTGCTGGCCATCTCCTGCCATCTCTGTTCTAGGTCATTCTTCTACTGCAAAGGCAGCCTAGCCCACTGGCTGGGTGCCTGGGCCTGGGAACCAGACTGGATCTTTGCTCGGACACTACCTGCTCAGGTAGTGACTTAGCATATTTGAGTCTCAGTTTCTTTATCTTCAAAATGGGGGATAATAACAGTGTCTACTTCACTATGTTGTTATGAAGACTAAATAATATATACTACATGTAAAATGTGACACTGGATTCAGTAAGTGCTACTTATTATTATCTTTTAATGTATATTTATTGATTTCAGAGAGGAAGGGAGGAGAGAGAGATAGAAACATCAATGATGAGAGAGAACTGTTGATCGGGTTCCTCCTGCATGTCGCACACTGGGCATCGACCCTGCAACCCAGGCATGTGCCCTGACTATAAATTGCACTGTGACCTTCTGGTTCATAGGTCAACGTTCAACTACTGAGCCATGCCAGCCAGGCTTATTATTATTACTAGAGACCCAGAGCACAAAAATTTGTGCGCTTGGGACAGGGCGGGGGGGAGGGGGGACCCTCAGCCCAGCTTGCGCCCACTAGCAGTCTGGGACCCCTCAGGGGATGTCCACCTGCCAGCTAACCCACAGTCAGACATCCTTAGTGCTGCCAAAGAGGCAGGAGAGGCTCCTGCCACCACCACTGCACTCGCAGCCTCAGCCCGGCTTGTGGCTGAGCGGAGCTCCCGCTGTGGGGGCGCACTGACCACCAGGGGCAGCTCCTGTGTCGTTTAAGGGGAGTGCTCGCTTCTCCATTGGGCACAACTGGCACTCCAGGGAGGGCCACAGCCTTCAACATAGGAGAGTGAGAGGAGGCAGCACTCCTGAGAGGCTTGAAGCCTGTGTGATAATCTGGCATTGCTGACTCATAGCACTGCCTGCCAGCGGTGCACCTCACTCCAATCCTGAGATTAGGCCACCTCAGAATACACACATGCCCACACATGCATACTTCCCGGAGGCCTCTGTTGGAGGATGGGAGCATTGCTAGCCCAGCTGAGAATCACTGAGCCTCTTTCAAATTGAATCCGTCCCACAGGCCAACCTCAGACAAGACTCAAACACAGACTACCCAGGGCTCCTCAAGAACCTCTTCCTTCTCAGGTCAGCCATGACCTGACCCTCCCCCCCCTCCCCCCATTACCCCACTTCATTTCACTCTTCCTGGATCAGCGCCGTCCTCCCATCTTCTCGGCGTCTTTCCCAGGGGCTTGCTCTTTCTGCTCCTCTTATGTGAGATGCCGCCTAACCCTTGCTAGTCATGCCCTCCTAATTCGACAAGCCTGGTTCATCCTCGTGCTAACACCTCATCACACCCCCAGGCCTTCTCCCAACACTTGTGATCAGTTCCACCTGGTTCGTCTCTTCGTTCCACCCTGCTGCCTGTTTATTGCTGTGTCTGCTGAATAAGACATTCAGCTCTGAGGACAGCTGCCACTCCTGTCTCTAAGCCACAGGGCCTGGCACAGTCAAAGGTCTCTACATGGAGGCCACTTTTTAAATTTCAAAGTCCTTGACCAACACCTGACCACCCACCCCACAGCCACCCCCAGCCTGTGAGGTGCCCTCTCAGGAAGGTTTCACCTGCCACAGCAGGCGGGAGCCAGGAACACGTCAGCCCTCCTGGCTTTTTACTGAGAATCTGGGAATAAAGGAGGGTTGGTGCCAGCAGGCGAAGGCTGGCCACCGAGCAGAACGACCTGTCCCTGTCACCCACGAGCCTGGTAGTTATAGAGGTGGACGAGGAAGCTGACCTGCCATCAGCTAGAACCCATCCCCAAAACGCCCAAGGTGTCAGCACACAACATGGCCCACGGCTTTACCTTCTTCCACCTGCTGGAGGTCAGTGCTGTCCTTCAGGTCTTCATCCACCCAGGGCCGAGCCTGGGACCCGGCTCTCGCCTCCCCCTTCCTTCTCTCCACGCTTCTATCCTCATTTTTAAAGATCCACACGATCAAAACGCAGACAACTGCTATCAAGACCGAAGTGAGGGACAACATGCTCACAAGTCGGAGAATGGAGTGCTCACCTCCCAGTTAAATGACTCTCTGGTATTTAAGTCAACAGAGGGAGGGCAGAATGCCAGGAGAGGGAAAGAGGGGCAGAGGGCGTGCCTGGGGGAACCAAGTGAGCTCCAGCTCTGAGGGCTTGCCAAGGAGCAAAGGTCACAGCTGAGTGGGCTGGGGTGTGTTGTGGGTCTGGTAATGCCCGGGTGCATTCGCCTTTTTGAGTTGTGTACTCAACCAATGCATTCTTAGGCAATGACTGCCAGGATCGCACTGATCTCGCCAGTCAGCATAGAAGGCATTCATTTCCCTCCAGGATGTTTTCTCTGAGTGCCGAGACCTGTCTTCAATGTGCCCAAAACTAGGAATCGCCTGCATAATTCCTTTGTAATAGAACAGATTCCCAGGCACCAGCTCAGGTCTGCTGAGAGAAAATTCCCAGAAGAGGGGCGATCATCTGCATTTTTAAAAAAATTGTTTCTGAAACAGACACCAAACCTACCAGCACCATGATGTTGGACCTCTGAGCTTTTTTTTTTTTTTTTTTTTTTTAAAAAAAAAAAAAAAAAAAGCTTGTGTCAACACAAAAAAATTCTTAGTTTGCATTAGAGGGAAATGTTGGTCCAGGAAAAGTGATACAAACAGTTTGATTAGTTTAAAATAATTTAAGTAGGGACTTTTTAAAAATGTCTTAATTTGGGTTGCTCTAACGGAAATACCATAGCACAGGTGGCTTAAATAACAGGAATTCATTTCTTAGCGTTCTGGAGGCTGAAGTCCAAGATCAAGGTGCCGCCCTCTTCCTTCCTGGCAAGGACCTTCTTCCTGGTTCTCAGATGGACGTGTTCTTCCGGAGCCATCACGTGGCAGAGAAAGATCCTCTCTGTGTCTCTTCTTCAAAGGTACCAGTCTCACCTGGGAGGGCTCCTCCCTCATACCCTAATCACCTCCCAAAGGCCCACCTTCTAACACCATGCCCTCGGGGGTGAGGGCTCCAACATACTAATTTGGGGGCCATCACAACCCCTGGGTGTTAGCCTAAAAGGCCCATGTCACTTGCTTCTTCACCACAAGCTGGGGCCATGGGCCTTTGGGAGGTGATTAGAACATGACAGTGGAGCTCTCATGAATGAGATCAGTGTCCTTATGAGAAGAGACCTGGAAACTGGCCAGCTCTCCCTCTACCCATGAGGACACAGTGTGAGGGAAGCCACCTATGAGCCAGGAATCAGGCTTGCAGCAGACACCAAACCTACCAGCACCATGATGTTGGACCTCTGAGCTTCCAGAACCATCAGAAGTGAATATTTGCGTTTTTAAGCCACCCAGTGGTGGTATTTTTGTTATAGCAGCCTGAGCTAACCAAGACCACCCCACCATGACTCATGCTTAGCTTAGGAGGAATACAGAAAAGAATTTTTAAAATATGTAGAGCACATGGGGAAAAGAACTTGGCAGTTCTGATCTGGTAAAGGGTGAGAGGGGAAACCAGCAGAGAGGAGTGGAGACAGTTACTGGTGGATGATTTGTGGAAGGGAGATGCACAGTTTGGTCCCTAAGCTGTCTCTTATCCCGAAGCACCTGGCAGTGTTAGTCTCAGCAAAGGGTAGCCTTCCTAGAGCTCTTATTCATAGTTATCCAGGAGACCCTCCCTTTTTACTTCATGTGAATTTCTGCACCGCTCACCTGAGCTCAGTTGAGTGGCTCTTTCCATTTCTCACAACCAACACAATCTCCATGGCCAGGCCTCCCACTCATGAAAAAAATCAAGAGAGTAAAATTCTTCATAGAGACTGTGCTGTGGGGACAGAGAGATGCCATACTGTTGAATTTGGAAGGCCCAGATACACCTATCTACTCTCAGTTGTTCTAAAATATTCCTCATCAAGTTAGGAGTTCTGAGGGCAGATGCTGTGGAGGATGGTGTAAGATACTTTTTCATCACTTATTGTTAGAAACTAGTGGCCCGGTGCATGGATTTGTGCACTTTTGAAAGGGAATCTGGTGTGGGTGAATCAGATTTGGGACTGATAGGGCCCCAGCAGCAACCTAACCTATCTACTTCCTGTCTCTATGACTTAGGCTATACTCTATAGATACTTTATGTAAATGGAATCATACAGTATTTGTCCTTTTTTGAAGGGCTTAATTCACTCAGCCTAATATCTTCTAGGCCCATCCACGTTTTAACTTGTATCAGAACATCATTCCTTTTTTTTGGCTTTAAATGTGCTGCTCTTAGAAACTGAAAAATAGGCGCCTAAACAATGGGTGTGACTGGGTGGTTGAATTACCGGGATTTACGCACTAGTGCACATTCCATGTCCCAGACTTGTGACTGGTGATCAAGAGGGATGGACTGGCCCATCTTCAGAGCACTCTGTGAAAGCTGTATTCTAGGAAACACATTCCCAAGGCACACATGTGCTTTTTAACTTTCTTTTTTTTTATATATATATATTTTATTGATTTTTACAGAGGGGAAGGGAGAGAGATAGAGAGCTAGAAACGTCGATGAGAGAGAAACATCGACCAGCTGCCTCTTGCACACCCCCTACCGGTGATGTGCCCGCAACCAATGTACATGCTGTTGACCAGAATCGAACCTGGGACCTTTCAGTCCGCAGACCGACGCTCTACCACTGAGCCAAACCGGTTTTGGCTGCTTTTTAACTTTCAATGCTGATGTGAAATTCCACTTCCTGTCTCATTTCCCTTCTGCTTTCCTAACATCTAGCCATTGTGTGTGCAGGGGAAGTCAACTGAGTGAAGGGGAACTTTCCAGGAAAGAAACATCTTGGGTGCTGAGTGAGGTAACCCCATTCTAATGATTCAAAAGAGCAAACTGTTGTCACACATTTCTATCAAGTGTTCATTTAGCAGGTATTATACCTAGTGTTTAAGCCAAAGGCCTGAAATAGGATGTGTCGGTATCTGTGCCATAATCTTATTTCAGTTTAAGTGTGAAGTTGAGGGGGAAAGGATTAAAAATATATTAAACCTAACTGGCTGCACCTGAAAGCAGCCCACACTCACTAATAACATCAGAGGGATTTATTATATATATATACTAGAGGCCTGGTGCACAAATTCAAGCATGGGTGGGGCCCTCAGCCTGCCCGGTGATTGGGGCCAATTGGGGCTGGTTGGCCAGGGGAAGGGACTGAGGGAGGTTGACTGGCAGTGGGAAGTTGCCTGTGGGAGCACACTGACCACCAGGGGATAGCTCCTGCATTGAGCATCTGCTCCCTGGTGGTTTATTTATTTTCACCACAGCAGCTGAGTTAGAACAAAGTCCTCAAAGACACACTCACAGGTTCCAGATGGACATGCACATATCTTTTGGGGGGACACCTTTCAACCCCTAACTTTTCCTATGAGGATACGTTAATTGTGAAACACTAATCAAATCATATATCATATCCAGAGTTTTGGTCTTCCTGATTGTGAAGTGAGGGGAATAAGAGAAATTCCACGTATTTCTCTCTCTCTCTCCTTGAAGACAACGTGCTCAACCAACCAACTTGTCTATCATCAGTGTGGAGGGTGAGGGTTTGTCAGTGCTGACCTGTCACCTGGGACTGTGTAATTGCTCAATACAAATGTGTGTCTAGATCCAGCCTTGGAAAGACCATAGATTCAAAGGTTACATATTTTAATGGTGTTAATTCTACCAATCCATGAACATATATATTCTTCCACTTGTTTATATCTTCCTCTAACTCTCTTTTCAATGTCCTAAAGTTTTCTGAGTATAGGTCTTTTACCTCCGTGGTTAAATTTATTCCTAAATATCTTAATTTTTTTTGTTGTTGTTGTTGCAATGATAAATGTGTTTTGGTGCTTGTTGGTTTTTAAGTTTCTCTTTCTGGGGAATCATTATTGGCATGTAAGACTGCCATCCATTTCTGGGTGTTAATTTTGTATCCTGCTACATTGCCAAATTCATTTATTAAATCTGGTACTTTTGGGTGGAGTCTTTCGGGTTCTCTTTGTACACTATGTCGTCTGCAAATAATGACAGTTTTACTTCCTCCTGGCCACTTTGGATGCCTTTTATCCTAGTGCAGGGGTCTGCAACCTTTAAGACATAAAGAGCCACTTGGACCCGTTTCCAAAGGAAAAAAAAAACCTGGGAGCCGCAAAACCATTGCAACATTTAAAACAAATATAACACTGCATCTATTGTTTCTTATCTTAATGCTATATACCGGATCGTGCAGTTAGCTGTCAATCTGAAGAAAAAAAGGACTTTTTCACTTAATGTAAAATATATTTTTGCAAATTAATAGCTAATTAAAATATTTAATTTACCTGGTTAATGGAATTTTTGCTCCTGAACCTCAGTGCACAGTGTCTGCACATCAGGGCTGTAAGACGTTACCTTCCTTTTCACACAGGCTTGCAAGTTGTCATCTGTGAGGTGTGACCAATGTTTGTTTTTAATATAGTTCATGTTGGAGAAGACCTGCTCACATACATATGTGGAGCCGAAGATCGACAGGACTCCAAATGCATACTTTTTCATGTTTATATAAGTGTTGGGGATGGCATTCCATGTTTCGAATACAAGTTTGTCCTGTTTGGGAAGGTTTTCAATATCACTCCATTTATGATTCTGAGCCAGAATGGCCTTCTGACGGGCAACATCCTGAAGAGTAGCGGTCAAGCATTTGAACTTGGACACCCATATATCTTTGTCGGCTATATCGGCCAGTTCCATCTCAAGATCAGGTTGACTTACACCTGCAAATGCAGTCATATTCAATAGGGATGGATCGATTGCCAGGGGAGTGACAGGAAAGGATAATGTGGTTTTTTTCCTCTCTGAACTCACAGAATCGTTTCCCAAACGAACTTTGCATTGTGGTGATTGCAGACTTCAAATATTCCAAATTTATCGTATCATGACTTTGTTTGAACTCTCTCAAAGAGGGAAAGTGAGACATTGTACCTCTCTGTAAATCTTTGACAAACACTGTCAACTTGTGCTC